GCGATATGAACGATGAATTCGTTAATTAAATAAGAAGTGACGTTACTGTTGCCTAATGACTTAAACATGTATACTTCTCCTGAGTACATTAAAAGTTTTTTTTTTCGGTGACTGCTGAAGAATGTGATAATAACTGACTGATAATGATTACAGAAGAGGATCACTGAACTGGGATCGAGTATTAAAAATTGGTCTTTATTTGGCAAAGGAGACAGAATATGCACCGTTCTTGGCGTTCAGACAGACCATTCGCGATTTCATCACAATGTTCTCGGCAACAAGCTCGAATGCGGTCGATAAAGACAACTGGGACTTGGTAAAGGTACGTGGACTGTGAAATGATACGAATTTGATAGTTTCGACATTAAGCAAACATTTGGTGGGAGATGAAAATGAGAAAGTAACTAACAATAAGAATTGTTTCAGCGGTATCTCCAAAAAGTCATTGGACCAATTTACGATAAAGTGGGATGGAAGAACAGTTCTGACTGGACTCAGAGGTGAGTTTCTTTTTGGAAATCCTCTCGGCCAGTTCTCTTCGACGATGAAACGAATGAATTTAGTCATACGAAAATGAATTCAAGAGCTTTGCTCTTGTATTCTATTTGTTATTTCAATCATTCACTTATCGTTAGTTATTCCTCAACTCAACCATACAGTATGAAATTCACAGCCTTTAAGATGAATCGGTTGAATTTGTCACGTATCAATTGTCAATCAGGCTTCGAAATGACAACTGACTGCCACTTTGGCTCTGCCGGGTAATATAAATAATGATTTTGCAGAATGCTCGCATCATTGGCCACTGAATACGCTTGTAAGCTCAGTTACTCGGATTGCCGTCAGAAAGCGTCAACGAGCTTCATTGATTTCAAGACAAATTGCGAAATGTCAAGATCAGGAACTGGTTTATGTAACAGGTAAGGTAACGACGAACGCGATACTTTATGTCTTTCACTTCCATACTGCCATGCGTTCTTCAGTATTTCGTTGTGCCGAATTCTGTTTTGCAGCCGAATCTTCACTTACTGGTGTTCTGAAGCAGACGAAGAAATAAATGCGGGGACTAATTGATCGCTTTTCAGCATGGTGCCCGACTTGAGACGAACGCAGTATTGTTGGGGAGTTCATGAAAATCCGGAATCAATGGACGTTGTTGAGAAATTATACCGGTGGTTTGTGGACAATTCCAGATACTTCCACCGCGATACCGAGAATCTTCTAGAGGCACAAGCGTGCACGACGGATGCAACACAACTAAAGGAGTATGTTTGTTGGTATTATTGCAGTTGTTATGCTAATCGAAGTGATCCATTCGTGGATTAAATCAGATAGATGATACCTAGCCATCGATCAGTTTTTTCTGTCAAAAC